TCATTAACTTGACCTCAAAATGTACGTCAGTTGGAATAATACTCCGCTTTGATTAGAGAGTAGTTGTTCCACGTTTAGCAAATGAGAGGGATTGTGAATCACTTTCTTGAAAGATAGATATAGATTGGGAATTACAGTTCACTGTATCTTGTAAGACAGATATATCAGAGGTTTTAGAAATTTCCTAAAAATATCTAGGGTCCACTCATATATAACAGCTGCGTAGCCCACCGACAAAGTTACATGTACACTAGCCCAGAATAGTATTGATCGGTAGATAGAAGCATACATATAAGGGGGCCGTGACAGATAGAGTCATATAGGGTTTGATATTGACGAAAGTATTAGTGAGAAACCTGGAGCTCTTGATTAAGTTGTATCTTGTGAAACAGATATCTGAGAATACAGAGAGAGTCCTATCCAGTTTGATATGGATTAAAGTATTATTGAGAAACCTGGAGTTCTTGATTGAGTTGTATCTTGTAAAACAGTTACCTAAGGATAAGGAAGGTTATACCTGAGATGAGATTTTATAAGTTTAAACCAGAGTAAACCCCAGTCTTTGCGTCTGCTTAGACCCAAGTAAAGCTCAGGCCAAGACCCGGGTTTTAGATGGCCTTGAGTTTAGTAAAAACCAACCATCTTGGGTTTTTCTCTCTTTAAAGCTCGTGTCTTCAGCAGCTGATGATCGTAAATGTGTAAAATCTTTTATATTTGTGCATTTAAAATCTCGGAATTATTCATGGTGTCAAATTTCATTAAATATATAAAATAAACATACTCTGAAAATAATGTATCTACATTAAGTTTGAATTTTCGAAATTTACATCTCCTTGTCACAGCTGATCTGACGGCATTTTGTCTGCTTCTGACAGAAAGCTTGCTAAACAGTCTCTCATTGGAAGAATCAGTGCCAATCCTGACTTGGGTTCTATCTAAGCCCGAGTTTGGGTTTTACTCGGGTTTAAGCTTTTAAAATCTGAGCTCTGGATTGGTACTGATCTAAAAGTATTTATTGGAGTAGGGCATTTACTTATTTGGTTCTGCAGACGTTTAAATACATTACAGGGCCCTATTATGAATTAATATTTAAATGAACATAAGACCCAGCAATTGTGCAGTGTAAACAGACCAATATCACTATTAAGGGATTTAATATTTTACTAGTAAAACTATTTGTTTTATAACAACGTCATTTACACTTTCTTTTCCACAGTTTTCTGGTTATCACTGTAGGAAAAATTTGTTTTTATTCCTTTAAAAACTTTGTTCATTAAAAAATAAAACAATTATAAAAAAATGTAAAAACTGAATTTATGAAGCAAGGTTTTCTTTCTAATCTGAAATCTTATAGAATATTATTCCAGGTTCTTTAAACTATACTAAATGTAACTATCCTATATATCCTACTTATAGGTCCAGTTTAGGAGATCTGCAAATTCCATCCTTTCAAGAGATCTAGTTTTTGTCAAGACACATCTTTTTTCATTATGCATCTTATCTCATACCTTGGTTAGAATTTCTATTGATGAAGGAGGATCTTATCTTAAAGTAATTGTGAATGTTTTTGAACCAAATAGTGAATCAGGAAAGTTTCTGAACAGTGGAGTTCAAAGATGTCAGATACTTGCAATAACAGAAGATGTTCCAGAATCAAATTTGAATCTAAGAACAATCTTAGACAATCTTTATCTCCAAGATGTTGTCTTCAGTTTAGCATTTGATTTAAAATGTGCCAATGCTATTTTGGGATTATCTTCACAGGCTGGGAAACGAGCCTGCCTTTGGTGTGAAGGATTGGCAACTTATGAACCTGGAGAACTGAGATTACTGGTATGACAAGTATTCAAAGACTGGTCATGATAACACAAAGATCAAAGACTGTATGAATGTGATAAATCCAAGAATTTTGTATAAAGATGAAGATCCGAAATCCCTTCTTAGTTCTACCCCCTGAGCTCCATTTACTGATAGGTTTTGTATCCTTGCTGGGAGTAAGTCTTATGGATCTATGGCCGGGTTTTGATGATTGGCTTAAGTCTAAAAACATCCTACAAAGAGGATATCAGGGACGCGGATGGGATTGTAATAACAGTAATACAATTCTTAAGCACTTAGATACCCTTGAAGAAGAAGTTAGATTGACAGTTCCTCATCTTATTCAGTTTATTGAATGTTTAAAACACTTTAGAGAAATCAGACTGGAGCCAGGAATTAAAAAAGGGTGTTAATCTAAAAAACTCGTTTCTTTCTCTCCAGGAACTCAGTGAAAACAAAGGAAAAAATTATCATTAACATGGAAAGTTCATATTCTCCTGTGCCACGTTGAACCTTTTGTATTATCACATAACTGTGGTTTGGGTAGATATGCTAATCTGGTTGGAGAACCAATTCATGCTAAATTCAAACCAACTGGGTCAAGATATAACAGGTCAGAAGGGCATACAGAGCATGGAGATAAACTGCTGTCAGCTGTTAAAACAGTTTGGAGGAACAAGAATCAATTAACTAGATAATTTGTAACCTAAACAGTCACCATTAAATATGTAAATATACAATTTTAACATATTTTCATATTTTATTTAACCATAATTTGACCAGCTTTTCATAGAAATTCCGCGAAATTCAAAAATGTTTTTTTTAGCATGTCACACGGAATTCTAGATTTTAAAAATCATTTAATATGACTTTCATTATTATGTTTTTATAACGATTACGAATAGACGAAAATAAATTTTTATCTTGTGACACAACTTTTAGCCTGGTGGTCTATTTGGTGAACATTGAGGGGGTGTAATGTAAAAGGACTGCATGTGTGATTTCAAGTGACCCTCCATGAAAATATGACAATGCACTATTCACAACGGTACTCTTTAATCTTTTATCTCATCTATAATGAGTTTTTTAAGTAAATATATACATTACGTATATGAATTGTTAGATACAATCAAGGATGTAACGCAAGAAAAGTTATTTCAGAAGGGTACACATCTTTTGTACTGCAGTGTACTATATCTGGGCAGTAATGTAAACACAAGACAGATGTCAAAGCCTGACATGGGATCCATCTTTCACATAAAAAAAAATCAATGAAATATTCTGGTCATAGGATACTATTATGTAATTTATCAAAATTATCAAAATTTAATGCTTTTAACCTCCTCGAATACTAAACGAACACTGATGCATCTATTTTTGTATACAAATTCCGCCCAGAGAGAACTGGTTTCAATATGTATGCAGAGTATACGCGACAGCAATTAACTTTCCTTGCATTACAACCTTGGATACAATATTCAGAATAACACTACAAGTCTCTTTAATGTATAGTATAAAACCAATTGATATAGTAAATAAGAATAAAAAAGAATTCCGAGTCTGACCTTTCTACAACCATTCTTTGGACCATACGGGACTGGAAGCGTAATTTAAAGAGGGCAAGGGAATTAAACAGTACTCTTTCTGTGTACATACAATACAATAAAAAAGAACTATAAAGCATTCAATAGCGACCCTTAAAAATTGGCAAAAATCGATTTTCAAACATTCATAAGTAAATGGTTATTTTCTGTCACTTCTAGAAAGTATAACTTTTGATATTTCTTAACCCTCTTCCTGCTGGGGGGGGGGTCGATTTGACCCCCCCCCCCTCCATGCAGTTGTTTTATATAACTCAAAAATTATTGGTCTGAGGCTATTCTGACTTTTCCTTAATACCCATAGCCCTCCTTTTAAGTTTAAAACCGGGCTTTTATACTAAATGTCTGAATCATGGTTATGACCCATTTTCATTTGTCGGACTTTGATAATTTTTAGCTTTTTGAAAAGCCTATGACATAAGGAAACGGATTGCAAAGAAATTTTTGCAAATGTTTTGCATACAACTTGTCAAAAGAAATTTGCACATTTTTAGCTTTTCTTAACTACACATCAGGTTATTTAAAATTTTGCAAATTTTCTTCTAAAAGTAGCGCATGAGAGCTTTCCAAGGATGTGTCATTTGTCATATTTGGACATCAAACATGGGATTTAGAGGGAGGATGGGTCAAATTGACCTCCCTTTAGCGTATCCTGGTTTTCAAGTTCCCCAGCAGGGATAGGGTTAACCGTTGTCTTTTCANGATTAATCAGGATATATCTAATATACTGACTCAGTCCAAGGTTTAAAAGGTACTGTTGTGAATCGAGCATGCATCTCTTCAACTGAAAGTTGAAATTACGCGTAAATGCGTCCATTAGGTCAATGTAGACAGTCCTAAATGCGTCCATTATGCCAATGTAAACAGTCCTAAATAAGTCCATTATGCCAATGTAAACAGTCCTAAATGCGTTCATTATGCCAATGTAAACAGTCCTAAATGCGTCCATTATGCCAATGTAAACAGTCCTAAATGCGTCCATTAGGTCAATGTAAACCAAAAGATTCAAGTTCTAAATCTGATACAAAATAAAAGAGCTTTAAAATATTCATGTTCAGGACTACAAATAAAAAGTAAAATAGTAAGTAAGATTAAAATAAATAATTATTCATATCTTTTATAAAAACAACATGTTTTTATAAAAAAATGTATTTAAGTGTTTTATTAAATTACTAGCTAAAGTGACCGGCGTTGCCCGTGACATTTTTTTTTAATCGAATTTTGAAGAACAAATTTGGATTATTAAGAAAAAAAATCTTAATAATTTTTTTAGCCTATGTAATCCCCGGGGTTCTCAAGGGTTCCCTGAAAAAAAATCAGCCCATTCGGTGAAGCCGTTTGGCCAGCTAGCTATAGCTGACATAAATAAATATAGATTATACATTACATACACCATAATATATATATGAATGAAGAGCTTTATTAAAAAGAAGATTAAAACTTAAACATTTAAACATTTGACAAATATATTTCAAAATATTAAAAAAATATACTTTAAAAAATACTGTTTATACCAATTCCACTAATTCAACTGAATAGATATTTAAAACTTTATAATAAACAATTGAAAACAGTTGAAAAGAAATTATTTTCCTTTGAAAATTTTAAATTAATCTATTCCCAAAATTCACGTTATTTTAAAACGTGAAACTTAAAACGCAGTTCTTAAAATAAAAATCGAATCTTGCTTTTCAACGCAAAGACAATATATATTATAAATATGTATCGATAAATTAAAATTTTTTGAATAAAAAGGTTTATGCATTTTCACAAAAAAAATAAGTTTCAAATATTTCATGATCAAGAAATTGGATTAAAAATATATTTTAAAAAAGACCGAGATAAATGTTTTTGCTTTTGACATTTCTCATAATAATTACGAACCATCTTCTTTTTTCTCTTCATTTTTTTCAATTAATTTCCCAACCAGTCTCTCGATCAACGCCAGTCCGAGGTACATGAAAGTACAGAGAGCCATTACACTCACCTGAAATATGAGGAATTGAGTCTTTGTCAAAAACTCTGATTATCTGATCCCTATATTTTTACAACCAAATGACGTGTACCTGGGATATTTAAAACTATGAATTCTGTGAGATACATAGTCTAAGTTTGAAATATCAAAGGTTTACACCATCTGGTTGCTAAGATATATTTGTTAAAAACTCAAATTAAAAGGGAATTTTTCCCTTAATCATATTTTATTTTTTTATTAAAAGGTTCCATGATCGAATCACAACTTATCCTTTTCTTTTGGGCTACAACCAAGCGATAAAACTGTTGAAAATGTAAGCAAGATTGTTTCTTTGACAAAACTGTTTAAGGTGCGGTTCTTAGTCATAATGCCCTTTGTAATCAAGACTCATTGAAAAATTTTCGTTGATCTTTTAAAATGACCGAGTTATTGAAATATATGAGAATGATGTTTCATGAATTCCAATAATATAAATTTATTTCAAAAAACGCATTTATTCATTTTTGTCAGATAAAAGAATGGGACAGGCAAAAAAAGAAAGATATGAAGATGACAATTTGAAAAATCTAAATTCAAGTTTAAGAATTTAAAGACAAGTCAAGTTGGTAAATATGAAAGTCAGGTTTCTTTATTTGACAAGTCATCAGAGGAATTGAACTAAGAAGTTATGAATATTCCAACTGACACGAACAGTACTATAACAAGAAGAGGACTTTTAAATCTTGCAAACTTGACTTTAAAAAATAATATTACAAGGATCCAAGTAATCTAACACTAAACTAAGGTAATGGGGTAGGTCCGGGGTAGGTTAATTAGGTCGATGTAAAGGCCGGGTATAAAGGGTCGATCCGGTTCGAATTCAAATGGACCCTAGTCCGCTGTGAATTGTACTGGTTCTAAATCGTTCAACCCTAATAACCTTTGAGCGTATAATTTTTGAGTAAAGATTTAATGTTAAAAAGTTTTAAATTACGATGTATTTCTTACCACCATCGCTAGTTCTTCCATTGCTCGAATACTCAACTCTGTAAAACTTGCTCGGGTACACATATTCTAGATTAGTATAGCTCGGGTACACATATTCAAGATTAGTATAGCTCGGGTACACATATTCTAGATAAGTATAGCTCGGGTACACATATTCTAGATTAGTATAGTCCGGGTACACATATTCTAGATTAGTATAGCTCGCGTACACATATTCTAGATTAGTATAGCTCGGGTACACATATTCTAGATTAGTCTAGCTCGGGTACACATATTCTAGATTAATATAGCTCGGTTACATATATTCTAGATTAGTATAGCTCGGGTACACATATTCTAGATTAGTATAGTTTGGATACACATATTCTAGATTAGTATAGCTCGGGTACACATATTCTAGATTAGTATAGCTTGGGTTCACATATTCTAGATTCGTATATCTCGAGTACACATATTCCAGATTAGATAATATCTCGAGTACACATATTCTAGATTAGATAATATCTCGAGTACACATATTGTAGATTAGGTAATATCTCGAGTGCACATATTGTAGATTAGATAATATCTCGAGTACACATATTGTAGATTAGATAATATCTCGAGTACACATATTGTAGATTAGATAATATCTCGAGTACACAAATTCAAGATTAGATAATATCTCGAGTACACATATTGTAGATTAGATAATATCTTGAGTACACATATTCTAGATTAGATAATATCTCGAGTACAAATATTCTAGATTAGATAATATCTCGAGTACATATATTGTAGATTAGATAATAGCTTGAGTACACATATTGTAGATTAGATAATGGCTCAAGTACACATATTCTAGATTAGATAATATCTCGAGTACGCATATTGTAGATTAGGTAATATCTCGAGTGCACAGTTTGTAGATTAGGTAATATCTCGAGTGCACATATTGTAGATTAGATAATATCTCGAGTACACATATTCGAGATTAAATAATATCTCGAGTACACATATTGTAGATTAAATAATATCTTGAGTACACATATTGTAGATTAGATAATAGCTCGAGTACACATATTTTAGATTAGGTAATATCTCAAGTACACATATTGTAGATTAGATAATATCTCGAGTAAACATATTGTAGATTAGATAATATCTCGAGTACACATATTCTAGATTAGATAATATCTTGAGTACACATATTGTAGATTAGATAATATCTCGAGTACACATATTCTAGATTAGATAATATCTAGAGTACACATATTCTAGATTAGATAATATCTCGAGTACACATATTCTAGATTATATAATATATCGAGTACACATATTGTAGATTAGATAATAGCTCAGGTACACATATTCTAGATTAGATAATATCTTGAGTTCGCATATTCTAGATTAGATAATATCTCGGGTACACAAATTGTAGATTAGATAATATCTCGAGTACACATATTGTAAATTAGATAATATCTCGAGTACACATATTGTAGATTAGATAATATATCGGGTACACATATTCTAGATTGGTATAGCTCAGGTACACATATTGTAGATTAGATAATATATCGAGTACACATATTGTAGATTAGATAATATCTCGAGTACACATATTGTAGATTGGATAATATCTCGAGTGCACATATTGTAGATTAGATAATAGCTAGAGTAAACATATTCTAGATTAGATAATATCTCGAGTACACATATTGTAGATTAGAAAATATCTCGAGTGCACATATTGTAGATTAGATAATAGCTCAAGTACACATATTCTAGATTAGATAATATCTCGAGTACACATATTGTAGATTAGATAATAGATCAAGTACACATATTCTAGATTAGATAATATCTCGAGTACACATATTGTAGATTAGGTAATATCTCGAGTACACATATTGTAGATTAGATAATATCTCGAGTGCACATATTGTAGATTGGATAATAGCTCGAGTACACATATTCTAGATTAGATAATATCTTTAATACACATATTGTAGATTAGATAATATCTCGAGTACACATATTGTAGATTAGGTAATATCTCGGGTACCTATATTCTAGATTATTATAGCTCAGGTACACATATTGTAGATTAGATAATATATCGAGTACACATATTGTAGGTTAGATAATATCTCGAGTACACATATTGTAGATTAGATAATATCTCAGGTATACATATTCTAGATTAGATAATAGCTCGAGTACACATTTTCTAGAATATATAATAGCTCAAGTACACATATTGCAGATTAGATAATACCTCTAGTACAAATATTGTAGATTAGATGGTATCTTGGGTACACATATTTAAGATTAGATAATATCTCGAGTACACATATTCTCGATTAGATAATATCTCGAGTACACATATTGTAGATTAGATAATATCTCGGGTACACATATTGTAGATTAGTTAATATCTCGAGTACACATATTCTAGATTAGATAATATCTCGAGTATACATATTGTAGATTAGATAATATCTCGAGTACACATATTCTAGATTAGATAATATCTCGAGTACACATATTACTTGAGTACACATATTGTAGATTAGATAATGGCTCAAGTACACATATTCTAGATTAGATAATATCTCGAGTACACATATTGTAGATTTGGTAATATCTCGAGTGCACAGTTTGTAGATTAGGTAATATCTCGAGTGCACATATTGTAGATTAGATAATATCTCGAGTAAACATATCGTAGATTAGATAATATTTCGAGTACACATATTGTAGATTAGATAATATCTCGAGTACACATATTGTAGATTAGATAATAGCTTTAGTGCACATATTCTAGATTAGATAATTTCATAATCAATAATTATATTAAAGCTTAAACTACAAGTATATGAACGCTATATTGATGTTAGGTCCCATTTCTACTTCATGTTGAAATTGAGGCCACTGTATCCAACATAAAATATTCTAAAAATCTCACCGATAAGCAGGGTTCTAATCGTTTAGGCTCACATTGGGGGTTAGACAAACACGTTCTTTGCAGAGAATCCTTTAATCTAAGGCAAAAGAAAAATATCAAAGCGTGAAAATAAACTTCTTATGGAGTCTATGTAAAGTATGTACAATGTTTTTGTTTAACCTCCTAACTGCTGTGTTTCATGTTCCTTGTATATAAAAATTTAGAAGAAACAATTAGGATTTTCAATCGCAATTTCGATGCGCGCGATTGCACGGAATTGCGTGAAATGGCGCGCAACTGTTCTCGAATTGTGCGCAATTTAGCGGAATTGTGAGTAGTTTACAGGGCTCGCAATTGCACAGAAGTATAATCCACTTGCGTTGAAACCCCTTATTGGGATGAAAAGATTAAAATTATATTGAAATATTATTTTAATGGTTTATTTGACTTTTTTATTTTATTATTTGATTTTTTATCTCTTTTGCCTTGTGCACTCAAACCTGGAACCCGGCTCAAATCCATCCTAAAAAATTGTGTCAACGTTGTTTACAAAAAATCTAAGTTTCCTTTAAGGGACTTAATAAGCGTAATTTCAAGTGACTAGGGTTTCCAGCGAAAAGGAAAAATTGTTTCGCAACCATTTCGCTTCATTTTCGCATTACGTTCGCTCGCGAAAAATGCAAAATTTCTGCATTTCGCGAAAATATTTTCGCATATTCGCGAGAAAAACAAATTTCGCTAAATTTCGGTTTGTTTTCGCTTCATTTAATTTCGCGAAACGTTTCGTTCGCTGAAAACCCTACAAGTGGCCCTCCATGGATGGCAATTAATCTACAAAATCACGTTTAATTGTTAAAAACTTGGTTTGGAAGCTGTTCTAATATTTTTAATATTTAACTTTGAGAATTGGTAGAAAATAAATATTTTCTTTCGTACCATGCATTTAAGAAGGATTTAAGTGGTTTTCATGATATTTAAACAAAAATCTCTTTTTGCTTGATGAACGTTTAAAGGGTACCGTTGTGAATAGGACATTGCATTGTGAAATAACGCTTGCATGAGTCCCTTTAATCTTTGTGCAATTTTATAAGAGATATTCGAGTAATGTTTGAAAATATGATCAAGTTTTTAGTTACACAATACACGTATATACCTGTAACGATCTAGCCCGCTAAACTTTAGTTCTAAACTGTCTGTCTCAACTGTCTCAAACTCTAATTCCTCAGTCAATCCTGACTGTCCTATCAGCTAGACAGCCACTTTATCTAACTAACAGCCTACCCAGGCTAATTCCGTCCGTACTGAACCATAATGGTTGGTATTGAACGAATTTATTGATAACAGGTAAATAGATAGACCGGTGGGGCCGGTCAGGTTACAAAACTAAAATCATAGATTACGGTAGATAGACAAATATACAGCTGCTCCTAGCTTTGTTACATACCTGTAGATTATTTCTAACTCTTCCAGCATTTTGTAAATCCCATGTTCTTGATCTTTGTTGTACTTGTACATCTGTGCTCAGTCCGGCCTATATAAATACAAGAAAAGGAATAAAAACTTTGAATTTTATTTTTGAAAGATGTATATCTTTGTCGTGGAAAATCAATTTTGCAGAATCAAGTGTTTTTTAGAATTATAGCTGTCGCACATTTTTGTTCAAATCGGCCCCCTCGTACATTGTAAGTACATACTACATAGTTAAAATATCTACCATCCACCAACCTTTTTTTTAAATAATAAAGGAACAAATAAACCACCCCTTCAACCTTTCCAAAAAAATGTTATGTTTGAACTTGAAAATTCTGTGTTGAAAAGTGAAGAGGGGGATCTAAGCGTGACTCATTTATTTTAAAGAACAAACATGTTTTGAATTTCAAGAAAAGCATGTTTGTCATGACCCTATACTCACATTCTGTCAGTAATATAAAACAAGGGACTGAAAACTAATTTTAGTCATTTTTAATCGGTTCGAACTAAAGCCACCAATAGGCTGGGCATGAGGCATAACCCCTCTCCCCCCGGGAAGGTTTATGGATGCTTTTAGTTACAAGAAAATTGTGTCTCCAAAATATTTGGATTTTTGTAAAATTTTGAAAATCCTCGAAAACATATTATAAAACCCGTGATTTGTTTGCTATTGTTTTATAATGAAAGCTGGCCGCAAATACTGGAAATATATATGAAGTGTTGTTAAAACAGGAATAAAAGATAACAAGAAATGTTTAGATGAAGGAAGGGGTGGACAGTTCTTTTACTGCAAACAGTGAACTTGTAACCCCCCCACACACACACACACACAAACGCACACTCTAACTGTAACATTTAAAATACGTCAATACAGGCTGAATTATGATTCTTTATTCTTCTTTTCGAATTTGTATCATATTGTATTATCTTGTAGCTAGTTTTTATTTTAAGAAGAAATATAAGAAAATTTTTAATTTATCCTGATAATTACATGAGTTATTTCATACATAATCACAACACTTTGATGTCAAGTCTTAGATTTTGCTAAAAAGGAATTGTGCTTTTGTCCTTAACTTAAATTTTCTAATTCCTATAACTTTGCATCTTGGTTATGTAAACTTTTGATATTACAAACTTAGATTATTTGATAAAACAGAATTTATAGTTTGAAATATCTAAGGTTTTTGACTTTCAGTAGGAGTTAGAAGTTAGGAGTCAGAAGGAGTTAGAAAATCGGAGTTTGTGTCAAAGACTTGAAATTCCTTTCATCTTACTTATGTTAAGAATTTTAGGATATATTATTGGCAAAAATGGAAAATGTTTGTAAACCGTGTGTCTAAGAAACCCAGTCATTTTTGGGAAAACGGTTAAAAATACAAAATTACCCCTATCGGTTTTTTAAAAAATCTCTAAATATCTTCTTAAAAAGTTTCCATTTCCACCATTAATTTATCCTAAAAACGGTATCCTGTTCAAAATCTGAGGCATTGACCACAATTAGTGTGGTGATTTGGCATGAAAGGAACCATGAGCTTTTGTATGATAAGAGTTATGATTGAAAACATAAAGATTTAGGATAACCCCAGTAGAAGAACTGCGTGGATCAAGATTAAAGAGGAAGAAAAGAATTGGAAGGAATTTCCCTCAAAAGTTCTAGTATTCCTTAAGTAATATATTTTTATTGGCTCGGCAGCTTTGTTTTTCCGATACATGCAGTGCATACAATGCAGCAACACAAGCTTCTACATTTTAATCATTATCTCCACAACCCCGTATACCTCCAGCTAAGCAATCTTTAAAAGTGCTTTCCTGAGACACCTTTATAGTTGGTTATTCTACCTTAATTACCAGCTGTTTATAGAGCTCCTAGCTATGAACCGTGGTTGTGTCCCAGTTATAAACCTCATAATGAACCTTACAAAGCTGCGGTGCTGGTTAAAATGAAACTTGTACAGCAAACAAAACCTTCACAAGTTCTGCCTCAGTAAACGAAAACTATCCCTTTAACTCTACTAGTCTTCAAGATGATGTGTTTACGAGTACTACTCTACGTCTATTAATAATATCACTTATCAGTTATCAATCGAAGTCTATGATTCTAGTTACGAAGGTGAAGGTAAACTTAAAGGGTCCGTTCATTTATTTGGGTAATTTCAGGGTAAACTGATGATTGGTATAGTCCGTATAGTCTGTATTACATCACCAGAACATCAGCCAATGGCAGTAAAGTATACTGGTCACGTGATTTCCGTCTGTATCACCTGACAACGATACTGCACTGCCATTGGCTGAAGTTCCTTGTGATGCAATACAACCTACACGGACTATGTGTAATAATATTGTCAATTATATCTATTAAAAATGCAAAATAAAAATTAAAAAATTATATTCAAAGATTCTCAGGCTTCTGTGGGATATAATCGTTTTCATATTGGTTGCGTATTTGTTGAATATGATCCGTTTATATCTGCTACTTTTGTACAAAATTCCTTACATATGAATTTTGGTGTAAATTTGATACAGTTTTATATAAATTTCTCGAGACAGGAACATCAGATAGATGTCTTATATGTATCGTTCAGTGCCTGTGAGATTCTCAGGTTTCATTCTATATACCCCTTTTAATTTTTCCCCTTACAGATCCTTTCAGACAATCTTCCGCAGTCGAAAGCAAGTAACTATATATACAGGAACGCCCATATCAGATATACCCAAATTGTGTACTGTACTCTTTGGGAGGAATGTAAACAAACCCAGTGCCCCCAATAAGTTGAAGGGAATGGACTAAAGCTCTAAAGTGATATTTGCAGTCCAACAAAAAACAAGTTAATATATCAAGTTAGCGAATGCTCATGATTTTTGGCTTTCTGGTCAAAATGGAAAATACAATAGCAATATATTTATATTCCACCCCATGGGCCCTTTTTCCTCAAAATGATGCGTTTCCCCTGAATTCGTTGTTTTGATTTCCTCCCACTGCAGTACACAGATTTGACGCATTAGATATGTCGGTTCCTGGTCTATATATTTCTTGGTCGAAAGTATACTTTTAATTCCTGTAATAAAGTCTCAGAAAATATAAGTTAAAATTATTGATAGATGATCGCATTCCTTCACTCGTTGCATGATATTTGCATCATTCAGTATATTGCATGATTTGAAGTTTTTAAAGTTTGTTAAATAACCTTTAGGATTGGGTGGGTTTTACCATTTTAAAGTAAAAAAAAATAGAAGATTTAGTAAAACACTATCCAAGTTATTGCTCATTATTACTCACCAACGATTCACAATAATACCCTTGCAACTTTTATCCGAGGAACTTAAAACTAGTATTTTTATCTGATTTTAATATTATTAATAACTTTTAAGAAGCCAGGTCGTACCTTTGGTTATTGCTAGTCCCGGTATTTGTAATTTGGGATGGGCAACATTCGTCAGTAAATGGTACGTTTTGGAAAATTAACCAAAGAGACCGTCAACGAAATTGTTAACGAACTGAAATAACAGTTCTTATTTATGGTTAAAAATTAACGGTTTATAAAAAATAACGAACATTCTCTTTTTGTTTTCTGATTTCTTAAATTAAAACCTTCACAAATGTTAAGACCCCAAAAAGTAAACTTGTGAGTTTCGTTCAACGATGCGCTAGTTCACACAAAAGTTTTAGGTTGTCTAAAGTGTAGGAGGACCTGTTCCATGACGTCATTATCCAGCTGATCATCTCCAGTCTCAAGATTGCTACTGTCCATTCTTTTAAACCAGCTCATTACCTTCAAACAAATATTAATAGTAGGTTTTCAATGTTCTAAATTGTTCTAAAGTGACCGCATGAAGAAGGCAGGCGCCAAGGAGGATTTTAAAGATAGAACTTTTGTTTTGCTGAACAAATTTACACCGCAAAAACGTCTTAAATGAATCCGAAAAAAATATATCTAAAATACTGCACTAACAGCTCAACTAGCAAGATAGTTAGGCAAACTTTAAATCCATTTACTCAGGTTTAAGCGAGCGGGGAAAGGCAGGCGGCCATGAGCCACCACTATTTCTTCTTCCGGGCCACATATTCGCTTTTTTCTCTTCCGGCAGCCATGAGCCACCACTATTTCCTCTTCTGTAACACCACATTTGACTCTTCTGAGCAAAACTACTTTTTTCAATGGTACATTTAGGACCTTTAAAGTGTGATTTTAATAAATCCAGCCACGTCACGCAAAAAAAGCACAACTCAAACCATTTTTTCAATTCTGCATAAGATTAATATATTGATAAATAAAAAAAGGTCGTTTGTTTTAGATTTTAGCCGGTAAACTAAGAATTTTTTAATATTGTGGGAGAAGAGAAAAATTGTTCAGAGTAGTCTGAAGAATAAGAAAATATTATTAAAATCATAATATTTACTGTCATTACTTACGCGTTACAGGTTTTATTAAAAAATGTTTTTTAGCAATTTTCTCTTAACACATTGCACATTTTTACACAAGGGCACCTTTTAAAACTAAAGTATATTTTATGGTGAATCATTTTTAATATTCATAGTGCTCTCAAAAATTAGCCATTTTTTATGAAATGAATATATATTTTTTGCATGACCCATGGATCCTTGAAAATCACAATTTAAAGGCCCTAAATATATTATTTCAAAAAGTAGTTTTGTCCGGAAGAGAAAAATGTGGTGCTACAGAAGTTCAGTGGTGGGTCATGGCAGCCAGAAGAGAAAAAAGCAAATATGTGGCACGGAAGAGGAAATAGTGGTGGCTCACGGCCGCCTGCCTTCCCCCGCTCATCACAGACGCCCACTCTTTTGGTACAGACACACAAACATGGCTGCCAGAAGAGAAAAAAAAACAAATATGTGGCACGGAAGAGGAAATAGTGGTGGCGCATGGCCGCCTGCCTCCCCCGCTCCATGGACAAGAGCTTGGAAATGAGCAGGAACGTTTACATGAATACTTATTAATGAACTCCCTGAACAAGAACTTGTTCATGAACTCCCTGAACAAGAACTTGTTCATGAACTCCCTGACAAAAACTTGTTCATGAACTCCCTGAACAAGAACTTGTTCATGAACTCATGCATGAAAAAGAACTTGTGTGTACAATGTAAACTGTACACTTTACAATGTACATTGCACAATGAATACTACAGTATATACAGTGTACAGATTACATGAAATGATGCACAAGGGAAATGAATAAAATCACTGACTAGATCTGAAGAGCCATTCAAGTTTCTAGATTCTACCCTGACAACTTGGTATAATTTAACTTGGTCGAAGTAACTTCAAGTAAGCCTTCGTAGTAATTATATCTAACTCTCTCTATATATGATAAAGACATTTTTGTCTTTATTAATACATTGTTTAGCATACAAATTATTCCACGCCAATAAACTTTGGTACTTGACTTATAGAAATAAAATGTTACATTTACCATTAAAGATATTGTACAAAAACAAAATTGAAAAGTTTATTTATATTTTAAATTTTCATTTACACAAAACCATTTTCAGAATTTTGAGTTGCTGGGCTGAAAGTTAAAAAAAATTTTAGGGCACAGTAAACAGAAACTAGACAATTTTTTTTATTTCATACTTCATTTCTAGATAAAGATTAAGTACTTTTTAAGGACAAAATGAAGAAAATACAGTGAAACCCATAAAACTATGAAAAAGGAATACGACATTTAAGGATTTTTTGTATTTGATGTTGTTAAGAAACTTTCCATCAACTTATTATGTAAAATGTGTAAAACTGCACATTTATGGTTTTTATAATAATCATTATTCAAAAACAGCTTTTTTCAGAATTTTTTTTTTAATGAAAAATTCAAGTAAAAACTTGGCTTTTCTGATGCAAATATGCTTATTTATATTGCAAGAGTGAACTTTGGGGAGAAAGGATGAAAGGGTCCGGGGGGTAGGGTTGGGCTGAACTCATCGTTTTTATTTAACAATATTCACAATAATAGAGGAACAGAGTTTTTCCCACAAACTAAACTTTTCTTATCCCTTTATATTTGCTTAACCTGACGGAGTAATTCTTTCAAATTTAGAATTTTGATCTTATATAATCTATATATTCTAAATATAAGTTTGAAATAACATGTCTCAGACATTTTGTTGCAAAGATTAAGAGATTGGAAAATATGAAATTATTACAAAGACTCATCTCTTTAGTTAGGTAATATTTTTCTTTCATTTTTTAAAACCATTGATTGCATTCAATGAACTATATTAAATAGAAAACAAAAAACAGAATATTAACTGAGTCTTTGCCATAAAAGAAAATTTCTAATCGGCCTGAAGGGCAAACCTTTGATATTTCAAACTTAGTTTGAAATAATCAATGTCTACGATATTTGTTTGTAAAGATAAAGGAATAAAAAAATCTGAGACATAATTCCTTTCTGACAGATCGGAACGAATGGCGAACAGAAGAAAGAGCTGTTAACAAACGAAATGAAAAGAAACGGTTTTAAAATAAAAAAAACATTCCCAGGTCTAAGCTGGGAGGATGGGTTATATTTATCTTGTATGAATAACATTATGCTAATTTTCAATTTATTCAATATTCTCAGTTGATATTCTACAGCACAGATCTAGGCAATGAACCAAGGAGTTCTTTTCCAGCCACAATTTGTATAAAAGGTTTTCCATTAGAGGAGTAGGTAAAGGAAGGAGTGGATATTCGAAATGGCGTGTGATATTGCAGTATCTTTTTTTAACGTTATTGAATAGCACCACACGTTCATTGCTCATAGTGACTGTTGAAAATAAACTACATAGAATCTTACAGTACAATTAGTCATTTTTCGAAAGCTATATTTCTTTAAAAACTTTTACTTTATGTTGACCATGCCACAAGTTTTCTTAGTGTACAGTTTAAAGGCCATTTCAAATTACCAATCCTTAAGTATCATATATCCATGATTTTAATCTAGTTTGGGGGTATATATTCATGTCTGGGCAACCAGGGTAGTTTATCTTTCAACAAATATACCGCAGGCTAAATCTATCTAAACCTATATACACAACAGAAAAGGAATTTGTCCAAATTGCCAAACATCAATCTTGTAAATAACCCCTCTTAAAGGGAAACATGCTTTTCAGCAACTTATTCTAAGCTAGAAACTTTTAAATTAATTCAGAGGCGAAATTTAAAGAATTGAAACCGCGTCGCTGATCTTCATATTTAAGCCGCGCGGCTTAAATTCTTTAAATTTTACCTCGAGTTAAGGTAAAGTTCATTCTTAAAAACTTAAGCTCACCAACTTTTCACTTTATCCGTCTCTCATTGGTTAAAATCAGAAAACAGGACCAATAGAGATCTGGAATCTTTACATCCAATAAGATTTCAGTATTATGTCATTAAGTTAAACTCTTAAACAAAATAGTTTCCGTTTAGTTATATAATTCAAATTATGGCACTTATGGAACTGTGAGAGCAATTTTAAGTGACCCTTCATGCGAAGATGTTAATGCTGAATTCCCTTGAAACATTATCTGATTAATAATGTGAAAGATATTATCGTTTTCTGAAGTATTTAACTCAGTTAATTCTTTTATGTTTCCGTGCAGTAGAAGTTTAGAAAAGAAACCACAATTGAAAATAATCAGTTTTCATAATTTAAACATGAATTTCTAATTCATACTTGATCAGGCAAAGCTTTAAAGGTACCGTTGTGAATCGGAATTTGGCGTCTTTGCCATGGAGGGTCACTTGAAATTACACTGACAGTCTAACCTTTTAAAATCTGTAATAACTGAGCTGAGCTAAAAGCAAAACTAACCAGCTGTGCTGCTGGCCTTTAATGCAAGTATTTTGAAAACTTTTATTAAATAAAGAAAAAGTTTTAAAACCTAAAGATGGGGAATGTTTTCGGCAAACTGAAGATTAAAACAATCTCCTCCCCCTTCCCCTACCTTCTCGAATCCTTTCAAGATATATGTTAACGCGCCAGTGCGTTTATATAATCTCAGCTCGCCAGTGCAACCTTTAGTTTAAATGGGTATGTACTATGGAGGTTTAAATGGGTATGTACTATGGAGGTTTAAATGGGTATGTACTATGGAGGTTTAAATGGGTATGTACTAACCCCCCTTTTGTTGACTTTTTTCCTCCCGAAGCTAGATACAAGGAAGAACATTATGTAAATTGGAATTATTCTAATTTGCTTAGTAAGCATAGATTTTCTCGTCGTTGTACCACTTAAACTTGTTTTACATCTAGGGATTCCTTTTATTTTTTAAAGGGAGTGCTCACTTAATTTGATATGTCTTTTTATTTAAAGAGTTTCATTTGTGCCGGGTCGACTTTACACTGGGTAGTGCAGACTGGACGGTACGACTGAATGCAGATACAGTACATGTTGTACTGACTCTGATTATGCAACTTTTTACAAGTGGTTTGCAAAATACAAGAGCTACTTTTGAACCTTTACATTTGAAAAAAAACAGAGATAATCTCTAGTATTTTTAGAAATAAAATAGCCCAATGGGCGACATGTTGTACTAACAAAACTGGAAAAACAATAAAAATAACAATCGTTATTTCAGAAAACGAAAAAAATCAAGGAGAAACAATTTTAATTTGTTAATTTTAACTTCATGAATTTAAAAAAAGTGCTATAAACTACCAGTGAACGAATTAAAATTAAAAAATGCGAAACATGACAATCACAAATGGTTATTCATACTTTAATAGTTTATTATACCCATATGTGATTTTTAAAAGTAAAACTCGTAAGTAAGCCTTTAAGATACATTTTTAATCTTATTTATTGTTTAAATTACAATTGAACCAACGTTGAGTGAATTTTAATATTGGAATAATATTTCATTTCTTTTATAATAAAGAGACGCAACAGCGAGCATCTAAGTTTTGTTATCAGTCTCTGAGTAGGCCGGGCGTACTGGAGCATTCAAGATAATTTCTCAGTCCCTTTCATATTTGTTTTTCAGAATTCCTAAACCCGGGCTTTCGGCCAAAATATATACATACAAACAGGCCTAACTCCACAGGGCATTGTGTAGTCAGGCCCTGGCTAAATAATATGAAAATATGGATTTATATATTTACATTATTTGATTGCACATAGTGAATAATATATACCTTAATTTCAAAGAACTTTTTACGTGGTCAAACCCCATTTTTTAAAATAAAATGTCCATTCCAAAACTATTGATTTTTTTAAATCATGGTCATCAGCCTTTAAAGTTTGTTCCAAGGCCGGCTATGTATGCTGCATAAAATAAAATTGAAACTCTAAATTTTCTTTTAACCCCATAAAATATCCCGCAAGTTTAAACTGCCTTTTACTTCTGAAAAAGATCAATTGGGAAGCGAAGTACATATTTAAAAATCTATGATTAAGTTGAATGGTCCGATTTTTACATGTTTTTTAACTTTAGCCTTTAGTTTTACTTTACTGCATACGTAATACGCATACTTTGTTGCAGCCTTGAACCTGTCAATTTTAGAACTACAGTGATATTCATTCTAGTTTCAGTCTAAAAGAAATAATTATGGCAAAATCATGATAAGCAGTAGCGTACGAGTCGGCACATTTTAGGTAGATCCTATGTGCAATCTGTCATGTTGTCTGATGAGTCTAATGGTTCTTCTAGACAACAGTCTCTCGATAACCATGTGATATAAAACCTTTTAGAAACTCCCATGGGGCCCTTCCTATACTCTCAACTAATTAATTAATTAATAGATAAATTAAAAACCAATCTGACACAATAAGGAAAAATTTTTATTGAACATTGCTTATTATTAGACCCGGATGGATTTTCTCGATCTTACAATTACGTAAACTTGTACTTAACTTTATACCTGCTCAGGTCAATCATGAGATATTCAAATAAATCTTATATATATATATATATATATATATATATATATATATTTCAGTTTTTAACTTCACATTTTTTATTAAAAAAGAATTATACTAAACATAATGTTTCACGTCTATCTATATATATATATAACTAAAACAGAGAATATATCTCATTTCTCTTTGATTTTAAATTGTACCATTATAATTGTGTACGAATAAATAGAATAAATAAAATATGAATAGGTAAGATAATTTTGCTTCACCAAGGGTTTCCAACACCATTTTGCCCACAAAATATCCATTGCGTAGCAAAGGATATTTTGTACGGAATCAGGTGTTAATGAAAAGGAGTTGTACACAATTTAGTCGTCTTTTAATGTGAAAATGCACGAATTTTTTCAAAAAACTTCCCAGACCGGGAGGATATTTTACTTAATTGTCATAAAGGACGTTAAGCAGCTGTTTGAGAATCTTGAGTGGTAAAAAGTAAAAAGGTGGTAAAATATCGTATAATTGCCACCCCACCCAACCTTGGGAGTAGTTTTTGAAATTCCACTTTTTAGCTCATACTATAAATATTATCTTCTTATAACGTTTATTCTACAGGGTTACTCACAAGGATGAGATTTCCGAGACGAGTGTAGGGAGTTTGTTTTGTCCGATTTCTTACATTCGGGTTCTTTGAATACCAAAAACTGTTTATTTCTGTGCTTAATCATTTAGAAACAAAAAGTCAAATCTTCATATTCTTAAAGTTTTGTGTCGTCTTTACAGTTTCATTCTTTGTGAGTAACCCTGTATTAGCCTTGCTTGCATAAGTATAATATATTTCTACGCAAATCCACACAGTGATCTAATGGTTGCAATTGCTCCAACGCAAAATCATAAGAATTTTACCAATTACTTCCAACAAACTAAAGCTTAAAACAAGTGCCATAGAAATGTCAAGAGCTATAAAGATCAAAGGTGAATTAGTGTGGTATAATAAAAGAGCAAGACGTTACGACACTTCAAAGTCACTAAAATTGGTGCAACTTTTCAAAGCAGTCTGGATATATGTGCCTCTCTCTCTAACTTGTCTACACAAACATTGGTACATGAAAAATCATTTCCGGATTTTATTGTACAATTATATCTAATGGAGGTCCGTGAAAAGAAAACTTTTTTTCTTTTTCATCCTGATTTCTTTTCTAGTATTCGTGTAGAAGGTTCAGAATTAGATTTTCTTATAATGAACTGAACAAGGTTCCAGTTTTTACAAACTCATAACTTATAGACAATAAAAGGAGAAAGTCTGGAAAATTTCTAGAAAAAAAATGTTCTCTTATGTTTTCCAGGATAGAAAAAAAATCAGAATACATTTTTATATGTTTATATGTTTATATGTTTATATGTTTTTACTGAGTTTAAGGAAATCGTGACGTACGTACAGCTCTGGCTGTTTAATTATAGAATCTCTAAAGGAGCCACGTTAAACAGAAAATTGTTTTTCTTTCAAAAAAAACTAAGAAGAACTTGACGTCATACCTGGGACCGAATTTAATGAATTTGAGCTGCGTCGCTGAACTATCTACTGTCGGTTAAATTTGAACCACCGACTTAAAGTTAAAGATTGAAAAAGGATTAGAATAGGTGATTCAAATTTGAGCAGGTGGTGTTGGCAGTAAAATCAGTGAAATTCGGATCTATGAATTCTAAAAAGTAAGTGAGCAGTAAGCAGTTGACACAAACTCGGATTTTCTAAATTTTTTCGCTTGGTCATTTTGAAATATACAATTTCATTGGAAGTGTTTAGGAATCAGCTTGTGATTTCTAAGGCACCCTTTCTGAGACTATTTAATGAACATATCACTTTCGTGATAGTTTTTGACTTGAGAAAAGTCATTATTTCCATTGATTTGATTCCTCTAGGTCCTATTTTTCATTATTTATTATATGTAAGTGGTAGTAGTAAGTAATCATTTATTTATGAAAAATAACAAAAACATACAAAATTAAGTGTTTGATAAGGAGAAAATAGTTGAAAACCTCCAAAAATAGAGGTTGTGGGAATATTTCCTCCCAATTCTAAAAAATATTAAAAAAAAATAAAAGGAAAAGGAAAGTTACATATATTTATTGTTTACATTATATTAAGTATAAACTAGTGGAGGATTGTCAGTATTTTTCGACAAAATAGAAATAAAAATGATAAATTTATTTGTAATGTTTATAGGTTGAGACAAATGTAAAGGTTACAAATGGGCATTTGTAAGCATCTTTTTAATTCGCGCTGATTTTTGACATCCTTTATGTTTGATTATTTCTTTTACTCATTTTAATCTTTTTATTCTTTTCTTTGTAAAATCGTCTTTGGTTTCTTCGATTCTTTTGCAAACAACGCATGTGTTAGAATTAAAACATTTGTTCATCTGCTGATAATAATCTTCAATTAAATTCTGTTTAAAATTCAAAATAAGAGTGATATTTGAAAGCTTAGAAAAGTGTCGTTTATTTTCATACCATATTTTAGGGAAATTGTGAGGAGGAAGCAGTTTAATTTTGATA